TTAAGAGGGTGTGGGTTACTTTCTGGAGCTTATTTCCACATGTTCACCAACAGACACGAAATTGTAATAACCAGTACAGTCATGACCATACAGCGTGTTAAGCTCACTTTGTCAAAACCTCATACTCAAGACAGAGACAGATTTTGCTCCCACCTCAGTCAGCTTACAAAACTCCATCCTGCTTCTAATTCTATTCCTCAAAACGCTATCCGAATTCCCAACACTCCTCCTGCCCTCTATCTACGACATGTCAGTACCCTGGTTTCCCACTCGTTCACCAATCCGCCTTGAACCCTGTAAAGAGAGCCCTCTGTAGCATCCGCTCCCTCTCTCTGTTCGCATCCACCATCTTCTCTGTTCCTCCCTGCTCGGCTTCATTCGTTTGCAGACCTCGTTATACTTGCAGTTCTCCAGTAGATTAAAACCAAAAAAAACGAAAATCGGCTGTCCGTCCAATTCCATTTCTGCTCATGTATCCTTACTACCCTCACCACTCGTGTCTCTGTGTTCACTTAACTCTCCTCTCTTATTGTCCTGAAGCCTCTTACCTATGTTTCCTTTGGTCCGCGCAAGTGGGGCGCTGCGGCTCTGAAGCTGGCGGAGGCATGAGAGCCTGAGACTCATGCTGAGCGCAAAGGACTCGGAGGGTGGGTGGCTCTACTCAGGCTGATCCTGGGGTCAGCCGGGGGGGGTACCCGGCCGCCTGGAGGGCGGCAAGGGGACTGATCCTGGTATCCGCCTGCATCCGGGCTCCATAATCGCTGCCTAGGTCGCGTGTGGGGTGTACTCAGGCTCTTGCGCGCACTACCGTGGGGGCAAAATCCAGTCAGAGGGCTCCCTGAAGAAAAGACTTCGGACTACGCCTCTACTCGGTCCTAAGAAGGTAAGAACCAATAGAAGAGGCTAGAACAGGGAGTAGCTGAAGAAGAGGAAAAGGACCTGAAGCCTCTAACATGTGTGCACGAGGGGGGCACAGGGGACAGAAGCCTCTAGGGTGCCCGCTGATGCGAGCCAAATGACCTGATGCCTCGAGTGACTCACCAGTTGCCCGCTGTCATACCTGGTGACCCGATGCCCGCTGTCGAGCCAGACGATCCAAGCCTGGTGAGCCCGGTCCCCACTGCCTTGCCAGATGACGCGGTGACCGCTGCGGCAAGTCCAAAAATGACCTGATGCCTGGTGACCCAGTGCCCGCTGTCATACCTGGTGACCGATGCCTCGCTGTCCCAGCATGCCGATCCGGTCCCCGATCCAATGCCTGGTGACCGTGCCCGCTGTCGAGCCAGATGATCCGTACCGATGACCAGTGCCCGCTGATGCCCAGTAGCCGCTGTCTATACTGGTGACCCGATGCCCGCTGTCGAGACCAGACAATCCCGGTACCTGATGACACCGGTGCCCCCTGTCATACCTGGTGACCCGATGACCCGCGGTCGAGCCAGGACAATCCGGTACCTGATGACCCGGTTGCCCGCTGTCCAGTCCCAATTGACTCCGGGGAAGCCCGCTGTCGTAGTACCTGGTGACTCGGTGCCACACTGCCTTGCCAGATGATGTGGTGCCCCGCTGTCGAGCCAAATGACCTGATGCCTGGTGGACCCGATGCCCGCTGTCCAGCCAGACGATTCAATGTCTGCCCTAGTGCCCGCGGTCATACCAGTTGACTCGGAGCCCACTGCCTTGCCAGATGACGCGGTGCCCGCTGTTGAGCCAAATGACCTGATGCTGGTGACCCCGATGCCCGCTGTCCAGCCAGACGATCCAATGTCTGACCCAGTGCCAGCGGTCATGCCAGTTGACTCGGAGCCCACTGTCGTGCCTGGTGACTCGGTGCCCGCCGCTTCGCCTGGGGGGCCCGAGACCTGTCGCTCGCCTGGTGGTCCGCGCCCGCCGCTCCGCCTGGGGGTCCGGCGCCCGCCGCCCCGCCTGGGGGCCTGAGACCTGTCGCTCCGCCTGAGGGCCCGAGACCTGTCGCTCCGCCTGGGGGTCCGGCGCCCTCCGCTCCGCCTGAGGGCCCGAGACCTGTCGCTCCACCTGGGGGACCAGCGCCCGCCGCTCCGCCTGAGGGCCTGAGACCTGTCGCTCCACCTGGGGGTCCGGCGCCCACCGCTCCGCCTGAGGGCCCGAGACCTGTCGCTCCATCTGGGGGTCCGGCGCCCGCCGCTCCGCCGCCACCCCCTGGGGGTCCGGCGCCCGCCACCCCGCCTGGGGGCCTGAGACCTGTCGCTCCGCCTGAGGGCCCGAGACCTGTCGCTCCGCCTGGGGGTCCGGCGCCCTCCGCTCCGCCTGAGGGCCGAGACCTGTCGCTCCACCTGGGGGACCAGCGCCCCCGCTCACCCGCCTGAGGGCCTGAGACCTGTCGCTCCACCTGGGGGTCCGGCGCCCACCGCTCCGCCTGAGGGCCCGAGACCTGTCGCTCCATCTGGGGGTCCGGCGCCCGCCGCTCCGCCTGGGGGCCCGATGCCTGTCGCCCCGCCTGGGGGGCCCGATGCCTGTTGCCCCGCCTGGGGGCCCGATGCCTGTCGCCCTGCCTGGGGGCCCGATGCCTGTCGCCCCGCCTGGGGGCCCGATGCCCGTCGCCCCTCCTGGGGGCCCGGAACCCGCCCGCTCCGCCTGGGGGCCCGATGCCGGTCGCCCCGCCTGGGGACCCGATGCCGGTCGCCCCGCCCGGGGGCCCGGTGCCTGCTGCTCCGCCTGGGGGCCCGGTGCCTGCTGCTCCGCCTGGGGGCCCGGTGCCTGCTGCTCCGCCTGGTGGCCCGCTGCCTGCTGCTTCGCCTGGTAATCCGATGTGCCTCTGCCCAGAGTCCGGCCCGATGTGCCTCTGCCCGGAGTCCGGCCCAATGTGCCTCTGCCCGGAGTCCTGCCCGATGTGCCTCTGCCCGGAGTCCTGCCCGATGTGCCTCTGCCCGGAGTCCGGCCCGATGTGCCTCTGCCCGGAGTCCGGCCCGATGTGCCTCTGCCCGGAGTCCAGCCCGATGTGCCTCTGCCCGGTGTGCCTCTGCCCGATGTGCCTCTGCCCGGTGTGCCTCTGCCCGATGTGCCTCTGCCCGGAATCCAGCCCGATGTGCCTCTGCCCGGAGTCCTGCCCGATGTGCCTCTGCCCGAAGTCCTGCCCGATGTGCCTCTGCCCGGAGTCCTGCCCGATGTGCCTCTGCCCGGAGTCCAGCCCGGTGTGCCTCTGCCCGGTGTGCCTCTGCCCGATGTGCCTCTGCCCGGAGTCCAGCCCGATGTGCCTCTGCCCGGAGTCCAGCCCGATGTGCCTCTGCCCGGAGTCCTGCCCGATGTGCCTCTGCTCGGTGTGCCGCTGCCCGGAGTCCTGCCCAGTGTGCCAGTCTTTGATATCCCGCCAGTTACCTGACCCGGGCGGTGGAACATTTTGCCCAGCTAGGACTGTTTGGAGCGTCCTGAGGCCGCTCCTTGAGGGGGGGGGGTACTGTCAGGAATGGACTGGCCAGCAATAGTGGGACTCAGCTGCCTTATGAGCTGCAGTACCAGGGCTGGCCAGCGGGTGCTCCCAGCAATCAGAGACTCAACCTTGCAGCCAGTCAAACACCTGGAACTAATTATACTGGTGTATTTAAGGGACATTCAGACCTGCAGACTCTGCCTTGGTGTTGTGTTTCTCCTGGGCCCTGTATCCTGTTCCTGCTCCCTGTTCCCTGTTCCCTGTTCCTGCTCCCTGTTCCCTGTTCCTGTCTGATTCTCTGCTGACCCTGCTCTGATCCCTGGCTTGTCTGACCATTCTCCTCTGCCTGACCCTCTGTACCACGCTGCCCGCTACCTGCTGAACCTGGCTTGTGACTCCGACCATTCTCTGCTTGCTCCCCCTGTACCTACCTGCTTGATTGATATTGACCCGGCCTGCCTAACGACGCTTGCATTGTATGTACTGTTATCTGTGGGTGGTTGGTTTGGTTTGTTTGCACTGTGTTATGTTTTAGTATTGCACTGCGTTTATGTTTGTATTGTTAGTGTTAATAAATTACATTGTTTATAACATATCTGAAGCCTGCGTTTCCCTGCGTCAGTCACACACCTCTGGTCACACCCGGGAGCCCTGACACTGCGTTACTGACGTCATCACGCTGTTTTTGCTTACCAGGAAGTTGGATTGGTTCCCGGGACCAGATGTCTTATATCTGTTACATAGTGCTTTTTTTTCTACCCAAATGTGAATGGAATTTAATACTTTGAATACAATTGTTCATATGGTTTTATGCAATGTTTGCTCTCCTTTTTCTTCCTTTATGGGCTGATTGATTGCAGGCACTGGAGAGACATATAGGATGGTTATAGCCTGAAGGGATTCTCCCATTAATATTGGTTGTCCAGCATCTTTCTTCTGCTTGAGCGCAATGGTGGATACACATCTCTAAGCCATTACATTAATGCATTTATGATTCTTATTAGTTTAAGGGTCCATATATTCTGGTAGGAGTCCTGCCAATATATGGTGGTGGTGCACTTTATTTACTTGAAGACACACAGTATTTGATTTTACATATTGTATATCAGAATATTGGGACTTTTTTTTCAACAATTCTCTTTATTTGGACTTGATTTGAGACTATATATGTTGATGTTTTTTTTGATACACTTTTTCTTTACATATGTACATATTTGTAAATAATGATGGCTTATCACGGCAATTAATTTATGTTTATCTGTACACAATTTATCTGATTGTTTTGCCAGCAGCATATTTTTCATATTCACTTTTTGCGCAACTTTTTTGCCAACTTATATTAAAAGGAACAGAATGGTGGATAAAATATCCACACCACATTTTTGGAGGAATAAAGCGTATAATGTGTTTGAGGAAAAGCTTTATGGAAAACTCTAGAGTATGTAGTGGATGAGAAATGAGTTTCTTGTAGAAGGAGAATCTTAGCCCTCAATTTTTTATATTACAAAAAAAGCCTTCCATATCTTATTTGGAGAACCCTGTATATTATGTGCCACAATTGTAAAACCATTGATAAATCAAAATTGGGGCCTATAGAGTAAATGAGGTTCTCCTAAGGGTGTTAAGGATTGGGGGGGGGGGAGTCTCCACAGCTCTGTACACCAAAAAAACAGCATTGCATAAAGCTGTAACTCAATATAGAACAATGGTAGCAGACAATATATGGAAAATAGCAATCAACAACACAAAGAAACCATAGTGTCCTGAAAGGACTAAAACAGAGGCATAACATCATAACATAGAATCAAAAACAAGTTACAGAAAAAAAACAACATAGAGTCCTGACAAGAACAAAAACATGTACTATGAGACACAACAGTCCCAAACTCAATCTGGGGTACACAACTTGGTTTACCACAAAAAAGGTACATAATATCCAAGAAAAATCAAAACAAGAGTTTTATAAAGAGGCCAAAAGGCCAGGTTGGATACTGATTGAGTGGGGAAGCATAGTGGTGACATGGTGGGATACAGCCTGTATTCTTGCGATAACCAAAAGGCTGTGCAAAATCAAAGAAGAGGTAGCGAAGAGGTGGTCTCCCAACATACTGTAACCTGGGAGGATAGAAATCATCAGGTAGAAAAAATTATGTATTGATAATTAAATCGTTGTCTTCAAACACAGTGGCATTGGCCAGAAAGTCACTGTGAAAAAGAAAAAAAAAATCAGACTAAAAAACAAAACAAAATGAAAAGCAGCCGAAATAAAAAAAAAAGTTCCATGGGACACCTGTACAGGATTCAAGTGGCTTTAAGGTGTATCCTGCATTTATCTATGGTCTTGGAGAGGAAGGAGGTCTAAGAGGGGCTGCCATTATGTGGTATAACAAGTTTAAAAAGGAAACCCCATTTATAGCAAATGCGTACTTTAGCCAGAACCAAGGTGATCTCTTTTAGTTGATGGCGCTTGTCAAGAGTGGCTGGAGAAATATCCAGAAAAATCTGCAATTTGCAGCCATCATGTGTGATATTCTTTGTATTCCTGGCAGCTTGCAAGATGTTCTCCTAAACCAGATAGTCTTTGAGACACAAAATTATATATCTGGTGGAGTTATCAGCAGGTGGCTTGGGGAGCAGGGCCCCAAGTATTCATTTGCAGGTAAAGCCACGTGGGTCTTTTCTGGGAGTAATGATTTAAAGAGACAGAGCACTGCAGAAGTTAAGTCTGTGGTAGCTTCCTCCTATTCCGATTGTCTAAATTCTCCACTTGCAACTGCAGGTGATTAAAAGCAGCACCAAGGCTCTTATGTTCCTTATTAAGCTCATTATATGCTAGAGTAAGTTCATCATGCTTCATCTTCTATTTGTCAGTACAGCTACCCAGTGCAGCTAACTCCTGTGTGAGAGTGTGAGGGTTTTTATGTAGTTCAGACTGCAATTTATTAGCCAGCTTATTGTGCATAGTCTCTAAGGAGTTTTCAGGTCCTCTTTAGTAAGATGCTTGCACTCCCATCCTGGTACTTTTACTTGATATGTTTCATAGCAAGATAAGTAATAGGTTTATTTGATCTATCAACACCACATCCCATTATTAAATGCAGGAAATAAGTAAAAAAGGTTTTGGGACTTTTAGAGTGCTATTTCACCCTCAGGAAAATTACTCATGCATACTCTTTATAAAACATAAATGGTTTACATAAGGGCCCCTGACCCAACTCTCACTCAGGCTTCCTCATCTCATTGAGTTGTGTTGTGTTGTGTGGTCTTCATAACCATCAGTATTGGTAAGCTCTGAATATGGAATATATGTAAGCAAAGACATGAAGCTATGTAAATACAAAAATGATTGTTTGAATGCACTAAATGTGTGTTTTACATCAACAGTGTGCCCTACTGATCGCTTCATGGGATACGGTATATTTACAGTTTTTATGGATGCAATTCTTGTTTTAATATTTTGTAATAAAACCATTTGTGTTTTATAAAGAGTATGCATGAGTATTTTTCAGGAGGGTGAAATAGCATCCTAAAAGTCCC